TTGTTCAACTTGGCTTTCCTATAAAACCACAAAACAGGGGTACCCTCAAAACGACACGCGAACTGGAAAGGGGTCAAGTCTGAAAAACGCGCCATTTGATTTCGAGGTGGCCGCGGGATACCTGGGTTGAGTTTCATGGGTCCTGCCCTTTGGTGGGACATCACTCACTCATTTACTTGGATGTTCAACAAACTACATAGGGTATAGCCATGGTTCTAACTGGGGTGAGAAACCTTACCACCATGATTATATTTGTCCCGCAAATGCAGTTTGCCCAAAGACCCAAACTAAACAGCCCAGCAACCCTGGCATCACTGGCATCACCAGCACACCAACATCAGCATCACCAGCGCTGCAGCTGCCAGTTTTCCAAGCATTGACAGCATCAAGTCGCCGCAACCGTCGTTTCCATTGTTTGTTTGGGAGAGGTACTTTACAGCAAGGAATTCCTAATTAAACCAACACTTCAGATAGAATTTCCAGCAGGATTCGAAGAAGTATGTCCTTGAAGCGTCCTATCTACATGCTAGATTATATGGTTTTCTTTTAGAGCGGCCGTTGGTGAAGATGTGAAGTTAGTACATAGTACCGACACCGGAGCAGCGTACTGTGTTTTACAATGTTTTCTGACTACTAGGGCAATTGCATTTGAGATACAAATCGGCAAACATGTCAACACTATCAACGAGCACTCCCCTCGCTGAGTGGCCCACGATCGCGGCGCTCTTCTCTCTCATCACCTGCGAGTTGCTCTTTGGGTCTTTCCTTCACGCCCCGCAAAATGGAATTCGAGCTTCCTTGCGATTCCCCGCCGAAAAGATGCGCGGACGCTACCTCACTTGAGTGGATCGGCCAAAAGAAGTCGTTTTTCTCTTCCACCGACATGGTCCACACCCAAAACTCGGTTCCTTTCTGCTCCCCTGCTAAAAGTCTAATTTTTAGTGGTGTAGTACGGAAAACCCATTAGTTGGATCAAAAAGTTAAAGTCCTAACAGCCCTTGGCAAAATGCGACCGAAGAAAAAGCGGCCGAAGTCCCTGGAACTCGGTTTCGACGGACAGCTTCTGAGCTACGGCCAACACCGCCCGCCCGCCTCCGCGCCCTTGCGCCCGGCCGTGCCTGCAAACGTCGGGCAGAAAAAGAAAGGTTGTTTAAGCATATGGCTGTGGGTCACCCTGTACCCCTGGTGAACATCAAAATAGGTGGCAAATGGATGTTCATCCACCCCAAAATGGGATCGCCATAGGTTATGCCCCATGGCCACATAAGTTTGTGTTTGTTTGAGTTGGTACCCTTTTGGGTTTAAGCAGAAACCAAAAGGAAAGGGCGATTCCAGTGTTGCTGGTGCAAAGCCAATTTTCTGAGACACAGTGAAAAGACGAGCGCAAGTTGCCAAAAAATCCGCCCAGGTCTTCCCACGGCTCCGGGGATAAGAGTGATCGACTCAGATCCGGCTTCCTTGGGCTCGAATTCATCTCGTGCGGTCGCAGAAAGCCAACTTTTGAGGGTTCACATGGCTGTGGCTCAAAAAACCGGAATTCCAAAATGGGTTGCCCTGGTAAGAGGAACCATGGACCAAAACCCGCGGTTTGCCCCTCCTGTTGAATTTGAGCCACAGCCACATCGTCTTATGGACCCGTTCAACTTTCGAGGGGTTTATCGTGAGCCAAGCCGCCAAGATTGGACCTACGGGAGCATCAGTGTCTGGTTCCCCCAAAACATGAAGATCCCCCAAAAAGTCCAAGTTTGCCTCCAAACGGGATCGTGATCTCCCCGAGTTTCATCGGGCCCCATTTCAGAGGTGCCACCCCTCACCTAGGACGCTTAACGGGATTGTGTGATTTCCCCGTGTTTGATCGGGGTGTGCCATTTCAGAGTTGCCACCCCCTTGGGGCTTTCCACCCGTAATGCGGACTTCTCCACTTTGCTAGGCAAGGGGTTTCAAGGCCCTAAAATGCTTCAGACACTGGCGTCCAGCTGCGCTAATTTTTCAGCCCGCCGCCTGGCAAAAATGAGGACATGTGTCCAGTAGTGATAGATTCCCGTTAAGTCCAAACAGGGAAAATGGCGGGGCGGTTAAGCATGTCCTCTTGGATCAGCTTGACATGGGCTCTCTAAAGGGTCCCATCAAGTTCGCACCCATGTGTAAAGAGAGATGCGAACAAGAAGTTAAGTGACACACCAGCGGCAACCTGCCCGCCCCTTGCCTTCACCTACAGTTCTTGCTTGGCCAAACCCCCCCAAAAACAAAAGTTTTCCCGAGCTGCCCTCTACACATCTCTGCAAAACCCCCAAAGGCGCTACCCGCAAACAAGAAACACACACTCTGTCCTCCATGCAGAGAGGATAAAAGGGGAACCCTCCCCCAAAAAAGGGTTTTTGGGGACCTAGCACGATCCGCTTGTGGCTCCAGAGCGAGCCCTTGCCTCTTGTCTTTGGGCTCCGGCTCCTGGAGAAAACGTGCCGGGCGTGCCGGGCCAAAAAATCGGGGCCGGGCTGGGGCTCGCGACCGTCTTGGAGGAAACGACGCCAGGGTGGGGTGAAAGATGTGGCCCAAGTCCCTTCAAAAGTTGATCAATTTACTGGCGGATACTGGCGGCTTGCTCTAAACGATCGCCACTTTTGGAGATTCCACAAAGGGATAAGGCTCGGAATCCCTGTGGGTAAGCAAAGGGGATGACAAACACTAACATGGCGAAGTTCTGCCATCCACTTTTACCCACTCTATGAAAGAGGAACTATTCTACCCTACGTTTCATCAATATGAACCTTGTGTGCGACCATTGCTGGTCGCTTCCGCAGGGATTGCCACAACTGTTGAGAAGGGGCATCTGCTTGAGAAAGCTGAAGGTCTTCAAACAATGATGCCTCTCAAGTTCTGGCATATTTTTGGCCGACCAACCAACCATCCGGCCACCAGCCCCAAGTGAAGCCCCCCCCTTCTTGCGTTTTCTTAACTAGGTCATACACCCCACCCATTACAGGGGCACCTTCTCCGCACACACCACTTCGCGGTTCCAGAACCGCCTCGCTTTGCCCAAGAATTTGTGACTACGCAAATAAAGAACCTTAACAGCGCGCAGAGCTTCGCGGAACCCGAAGCAAGACAGTTCGCGAAGGACCGCTGAGCTGGCTCCTGAGCCATTTTCTTGCCGCCCCCGCCACCCCCGCCCTCGACATGCGAAGGCGATTTCGCGCATGTCGCGCCTCTGGCTCCTTCTTCGCCCTGCGCATCCGTTGAATCGGTGGGAAGAGCTCAAGCCATGGGGCGTTAGGACTTGCTTCGCACACCTCGAGGAAACCGCCTGTAGATGCAGCTCGGTCCTCCAGTGGAGAGGTTGGAATAAGAATACCTTTCTTCTGTAGTCTATTTTAGTATGGGAACATTCCCGCAAAAAAGGGTTAAAGGGCACTACTGGGGGACCTAGGCAGGGTAAGCCAAGGGGATGATTGAACAAGCATGAGGGAACCGCTGAGCTGACAGGGTCCCCTAAAGCCGCCGAAAAAGATGTGCCGACCACCAGATTCCCCAAAAGAGTGAGTTCCAAAAGAGTTGACGACAGGCACAAAGAGAGAATAGGCTATTTTCAAAATGGTAAAGTTGGCATATTATTGGGGACTCTCAAAATACTGGTCCCTAAAATTGGTTGGTTGGTTTCTTGTGGTCTGGCAACGAAAAGGAGGTGCACCGGCTCCCCAAAGCAAATTGGGACAATCTCGCTCGGGGGGAGGTCCCCAGAACCAAACCATCCTGATCGCTCGGTCCCTCCACTTTCTCTGGGCGCTCTTTCCAACACTTGGTATGGTAGCAAACACTTTGCTTTTTGCAGACTACCAAAAATGAAAAACACGAAACAAACAAACAAACAAACAAACAAACAAACAAAACAAACAATCAAACAAACAAACAAACAAACAAACAAACAAACACATACTAACAACAGTGAAGTTGAATCCATCCATTGTCTCTGGGGAGGGTATGGCTGGAGGAGGGTATGGCGAGACTGTTGTAATATTCGGAACTCGCTTAAAATTAGCTGGAACCCAAAAAGGCAGTTCCCAAACAGGTCATGGGACTCACAATAGAGTTATGACACAGGCTGCAAATCCAGACAATTGCAAGAACACAAAAACAACTCAAAAAAAAACTCAATTCGAAAAACTCAATCTGGAACACTCTCAACCTGGGAAGACTCAGGAAAACCTCAGAAGAAGAAAAACACCCTCAGCCTTGAACTCGATTCCCCTGCTCGAGTTTGAGGCTGAGTCGGGAGCTGAGTTTTTCTGAGTTATTTGGTTATTTATTGAGTTATCGTTGAGTTGTTCTTGAGCTGTGTTTGAGCTTTTTTGAGTTTTGCTTGGGGTTCTTGGAGTTTTGTCTGAGGGTGTTGGTTGGGGAGGACATCTGCAGTTTTCCCAAAAGAAAACAAAACACTGAGGGAGAAAAAAACTCAGAAACAATATGAAACACAAAAACTCAGAAATAACTCCGAAAAATTCAGCTCCCGACTCAGTCTCAAAGTCAAGTGGGGGGATGGAGTTCAAGGCTGAGTGTTTTCTGAGGTCTTTTTCCCCTTTTTTATGAGTTGAAGGCTGGTTGTTTTCTGTGTTTCTGTTTGAGTCGTCCCTTGTGTTGTTTGTGTGGTTTCGTTGTGTTTTCTTTGAGTCTGTGTTTTCAGTTGAGTTTCTGGCTGAGCTGTTTCTGAGTTTTGAGTGTTTTGTTGTTCCGCTGAAACCTCTCCTGTCTGAGCCCGTCTGGTCATAACAATAAAGAACCTGATGCTACCTTTGCCCACAGCCCCCGAGGGTTGCCGTCATCCCCAAATCACACTTGTCCTGCCCAAGGTTTCGGTTTAGGGTTGAGGTTTAGGTTTCGGGCTTTGTTTTTGGGTTCAGAGTTGAAGTTCGGGGTTTAGGTTTAGGGTTCGGGTTTAGGGTCCAGGTTTACGGTGCAGGCTTAGGGATTAGGTTTAGGGTTCAGGTTTAGGGTGTAGGTTTAAGGCTTAGTTCAGGCTTAGGGTTCAGGTTTAGGGTGTAGGTTTAGGTTTAAGGTTTAGCTTCCGGGTTTAGGTTTAGGGTTTAGGTTTAGGGTGTAGGTTTACGGTTTAGGTTCAGGGTTTTAAGTTTTCTAGGTTACATGCCCCTCTGCTGGCAAGCTGCTAGTGCATGTCTTAGAAGCTCTCAAGAAGTATCGGCTAAAAACGGCACATTCAGCAGCCGCCGTCTCTGCCATAGCGCTTGGCTATCACTAATTCGAGCACGTGGTAGCGAAGACGGAAAGTGCTTCAGGCGGATTAGGTTTCTAAGAAGTCTAGGTTTGGGCGTCGGGGCGTTGCTTTGGGGCGCAGGCTGGCCGTTTTATACGGGTGTACCCAAAACGTGGTAAAGCGCACCTATGCCCCACCATGTTGTTGCTTTAAAGGACACCCCGCCCCAAGGCAGGTGCCTCAGGTTGAGCTTCTTTGGAGGCTCCGGCTCTTCTTCGTCCTGGGCAGAAAATCCAGTCGCTTGCGCGGAAGAAACCTACACAATGGGTTGATGAACCTCTGGCCAGGTCAAGCCGGTGAATGCGCGTCTAGTTGATTAAATATTGGGGGTCCAAATCAGATTTTGATGAACTTTGGGAGAAAAAAAGAACAACGATTGAGAGGACACGTGTCTCAGGTTGATGTCGGGGCCGACCGGTCGACCATGGTGATTGGGGCTTCAACCTCTGATTCTGCCGAAGCATTTCCATTCAAACATCAGCGTACCCTCAATTGGGTGTGTCTTTGTTTTGAGGGTACCCCTCTTTGGTGGGTGTTTGAGGAAACCAAAAGGGAAACCACATGTTTGGGTGGTCTAACCTCAAGAATAGATTGGTTTGGAGCTTGGAGCACGAACGACTCTCCCCTTCTGCTTCGATGGGGTGCGTCTGCGAAGGATGCTCTCAAGAAAATCTTGGCTTCAGCTTTGACATGTTCCCGAAACTTCTGAACCAGTGGATTTGGCCAACAAAAAAAACAGTCGCCCAACTGTTGAACATGGTCCACGCAACCAAAAAGCGACTCAAGTCCGAACCGGAACTCGGAAAATGAGCGAAGAAGCGCCAACTTAGACCCGTTGCCTTTGGCACCCGAAAGCCGCCAGGTCGAACCACTACGGGCAATGGGGGGCGTTGAGCGCGATGTAAACCGACCCAGGGGCGGAAGGGAGGGGAGGGGGACGGGGGGTTCCGGCATCGCCCCATGGTATTTTGGGCTCGTGTGCGGACATGGGAAAGAAAGTTTGGGCTCTCTCGCTGCCCGGCTTGTTGTGGAAGTTTCGTGAGTGCCCCATGTCCCTCCCACATGAACCGTAGACAGATTAATACGTTTTTTGACCGAACCTCAAACGACAGCAGCTCCGTTTTTCCGTGTTCATCACAAGTAGCAAGGGGGGGTGCCCCCTTGATCGAAATCTCCAGCGCCTACAAAAGCTCTGCTTAAGCCTTTGTACTTAGCCTCCTTTTCGTGTCCCGCAAAAGTAAAGGGTGGTCCATTTGTACCCGAAATGGCTCACACAAGAGCACGGCAGGTACAAATGGACTACTCTGGTTCCTGTTTTACAGCAAATTTTGCCACAGGCCTGGGTTTCAGAGGGGGCTGTGCTGGTTCGCGCCTTGACAGCCTCAAGCTCTTCCTTCAGCTTGGCAGCCTGCGAGCTGGCTTTCTCGCTCGGCCGGACGCGGAGGGCAAACGGCCGGCCGTTTGCACAGTTCCTCAAAAGGATACACTCAAAAAAAACAAGCTTCACATGAAGATCACTAAATCAGCTGGTAAGGCTGATTTGTTGACTGGCACAAATCTGTGTATATACATGTATATATATATATACATATATAATATATATACACATTATGTATAACAAACAAATCCTTTGAGGGACCCTGGTTTGGCTTATGCAGCTTCGAGGTGGGGCGAGCTTCGAGCTTCTGCGTTGCGAGGCCATGAGTCCAGATTTCAATGCCGCTTCGCATTTTTACGCCATGTTCCTAGAGTCGCCTCATCTGCCTATGGTTGTCAGGGCCCCCCCAAAGAGAGAAAAAAAACCTTAGAGACCCTATTAGTCACTATTGGCCCCTCTTGGGATTGGGGGAAAAGCCCCTTTGTTGGGCCCTCTTCAGGTTTTTTACCGCCTGCGTTTTTTTTTTTTGGGGGGGGGGCCTCGAATTGATCCTCGAATTGCTCCGCTGGTCGCATCCTCCTTTCGGATCAATCGGACGGTGCCATCGAACTCGGAGCCGGGGACACTGAAATCCGATCCCGTTGCGATCCGCTAGCATGGGTATGGGGCAAAACAAAAAAAAACACCAAAAAACCGCAGGGCTTGGTCTTTGGCTCCATTTACCATGGTTCCATTTTGGGTACGCATGTTTGACCCATAGCCAGTCATAGCCATATCAATACGTGCAAGAATCCACTGCGAGGCAAGAATCCGCCACGGAAGCATTCTACGATCTTCCTGTTCGCTAGCAAGTGACAGCATCAGCATGTCCAACGAGGCAGAGCTACCTTCAAAAGTCACTCCAAATGCCATGTACAAGTTGTTGGGTAGGCTGACACGGGATTTGGCAATCAAACATCCAACCAACGAAGTCGTATTTGTGATGGTTCTGTTTTCGTCTGTGTTTTTGGGGGCGTTCTTACGTCAAGTGCCGTGCGCTTGTCGGACATGTCCAGACTTTGGAAGCGGATGCCCCTTGGGTTGGTTCAGATTTAAGCCCTACGCCATTCACGGAAACCCCACAGATCGCCCCGGCCTTCTCCTCCTCCTTCACACGCTGCCTAAGAGAGCAAAGGGATATGCGGAAAGACTGCGCAAGAGAACTTTCCACGAAAATCCATTCATGTCCTTGATTACCCCTACTCCGAATACCCTCTTTTCTAGGGTATGTTTTGAAAAACCTGGTTTTCCAGGGTAAATACTTCATTTGCTAGTAAACGGTCGACATCATACTCTAACAACATCTGTAAACAGGTTGTCCTCACGCAAAACAAAACATGGACGCCAAAAACGGAACGCCAGATCTGGGCAGATCCCGTGGATTTGGGGCAAGTCGATTTGCTCTTGCCTTGGACATAGGGGACCAATGTTTGAGGATTAAAAAGAAAAGTCAACTCTGAAAGGAAGGATTCAAATGTCTAACAACGTGATTTCAAGACGGCCAGCCATCAAAAGTAAAAGCACCGTTGGTCCGTTGAAGAACCGACTGGACCAAGCAAGCCAGCCTATTGTGGGGTCTTTAGGTACCTATTTGTGGGATGGTTTTACTACCTGCATGAGGTCCTTTTGCCCTGGACATTTCGCCTACCAAAAGGAAACCAACCAAAAGCCGCGGGTCGCATTCCTTCACAGCCAAGTCCTCGGAACGTTGCCCCGAAAAGTTGTGGCTCTAGCTTGACCTGCGGTGGAACATCAACTTCCAAAAACTCAAAGCAGTTTTCTTGAAAACGACCAGGACAAATACCCCCCAGCTTTATTTGCTCAACTGAAAATAAGATACTTGATGCTCGTGTTCTCGTTCTGTTTGTTCAAACTCTAGAAAAAGGTGGTCATGCGCTTTTCGTGGATTTCACCCTGTTCTTCCCCCCGTTGGTCCTTTGTTAGTAATATTATTTTAGTACTCTTTTATATTCTACCGGGGTGTGTCCACAAAAGCCGCCACATCCAACCCGCCGCTTCTGGATAAATGTAAAATCCAAAACAACTTCCCGGAGCACCAATCCGCGGACAGAAGTAACTCATTCACCTGTCAAAATACCAAAGACCGTTTCCTTTTTGTAACAAAAACGTGGTTCAAAACAAGAACAAGTTAACCCAGACCAAGTGTTTGCCTTTGTTTTTCATTCAAAGGACAAAAAAAACAGCCCGCGGCTGGAGCCGAGTCCCGCCGGCAGACTCCGCGGCCGAGGGACTTCTCCTGCTTCGCCTTCAGCTTCGCCAGCTTCGCCTCCGCCTTCTTCTTGGCCTCGGGGCGGTGGGTCCCGTGGAACGGACGGGCCGAAGGTGGGTGGGGCACGTCGGGGGCGAGGTTGTGTTCGTCGTGCTTTGTGTTCTTGTTTGGTTTTTTTTGGGGGGGGATGGGGGGTGAACTTCATGTTGAAAAAGACACCCAGCACAGAAACATGTGCTTAAACAAAATGATTGAACAAGGTCACAAAACCAAAAAAGGCATCGGCTCTGAGATTCTGGGACTGGACCCAAACATGGGGCATGGGACCCGGGTGCCTCACAGCAGGGAAGCCTTAAATAGATTGCCTCACTTTCTGAGTGGATGGCCCACAAGAAGTCGCCTTCTCCCCGCCTTCTCCGCCTTCTTCCGGAGCTCCTCGGCCTTCTTCTGCGCCTTCGGATTCCAGCGTCTCAGAGGCGTGTTTTGCGTTGAGGACCAACAAGTCGCGAAATGAGCGAGTTGGGAGTTGGGGTGTGTGTTGGTTTTCCTCCTCTCTCTTTTTCGGGGGGAGGGTGCTCTGTCACAAGACGCAAACTTCAAATGAGTCCAACAATCTTGCTGAAATCCCCCCTCCCAACAACAGACCTCAGAACAAAACAACCCGCCCGCACACCCGCCCACCCGCCCACCCACGTGCCAGCCCGATTTCTCGCCTTCTCGGCCTTCTTTTGGGCCTCCAGCCGCATCTGCTCCTGCTCCGCCTTCTGCTGCATTCGCTCCAGCTTCAGCTGCGCCTCTCGCTGGCAGCTCGCAACTCCATCTGGATGTGTCGTCATTGTGGGGGGGGGGGGAAAAAACGACCAAAAAAAAAACACCAGGCAAATTGGGGGGCCCCAAAAAAATGTTGGCGTTTTGGTGGTTGCCCTTTAAAGCCACCGAATAAGTGGTACCCGCAAATCAAGACACCCCGGTTTTGCTACCCATGTGATTTGGAGGCAGTTCCTACAGTTCCCGAATTGTTTTGCACCCCCCTTCTTATTGTTCTTTCTCTTGGTCAAACAGGAAACCAAGAGGAAAACCTACCAGTGAGTTCCCCAGAAGCGGTCCGTTTCCCACAACCCAGGAGGGGAGGGGTGCTGGGTGGCTCGGGCGGGATTGATTGCAAGTGGTGGAACCTCGACTTTTAAGCAGCGGTTGCATCGCCCGGGATGGCGCGAGGCTCGCTCTTGAGCTGATGTTAGCCAAGTGGCCGGGGGTGGCGGGAGAGCACCTCGCTAGTGTCATGGTCAGAACACCTTCCATTTGCGTGTCAGAAGTTGTTTCTTGTATTTTCCCCTGTTGGTTTTTCAAAGGAATCTACCACTACTGGCAAGATCCGGCAAGCTTGTCTCATTTTTACCAGGGGACTTCGGCAAATTTGGAGGTTGTTTGTGGTTAGGGATGGTCATGGCTCCTTGGTTGAGAGAACCCATGGCCAGGATTCGTACGGGAGCCATGACCATGCCAAGAATCAGGTTGGACTGTGGTACTTGGCGCCTGTATAAGGGCTTCATGGAAAACTCTGAGGCGCAAACCCAAGGCAATTTGGCTTTTTCCAAGTTGTTTGCACTTGCATTGTTTTCCTTGCCCCACTTGCTTGTTCCCTGCTTCATTTGTGGGGTGTGTCTCAAATTGCGATACAAGAAGGGTCCCAAAGATAAACCCCCCAAAAGACTACCCCCCCAAAAGACTAACCCCCCAAACCAAGGCCTGCGTGTGACATCTAGGCCCGGTCCTGCAGCTCCTGGTCGAAGCAGGCCCCCACCACCCGGCTCCGGGTGTCGATGCCCACCGCCTTCTCGAACCTCGGGCGGGGGCACTCGGGCAACGGCCGAGTTCGGGCCACGCCCCACGGACCTGGGCTGCCCCACGCCCCGCGCCGCTCTTCTTTTTAGGGGCCAAAATGGGCGGGTCGAGGTCAAAACGGGCCCCGCTCGGGGAAAAACGGGAAAGAAGCCTCAGGTCGGATGCTGCAATTGCAAAAATGGAGGTTGATCACCAACTCCAGTAGCAACCAAACCCGCATCCCAACAATGCAACAAGATTGGGTGACTTGGGGGAATACAAGTGAGCCAGCCAAAAACGCAAAGATTGGATTGGCACCCTGACATCATCCCGCTGCTTTCCAGGTCCAAATCTATGCGTACGCCGTTGGAACCGGCGCTGGAGTTTTGAGCCGTTTTTGACACTTTTGCATGAATCACTTGGTTTTTCCTTGCATTTCAGCGTGGGGGGGGGGTTGGGGGGGGGGGTTCGGGGGGGGGGGCTGATAAGCATCCATGTCTGGTAAGCATCCATGTCTGGTAAGCGTTCACTGCTTTGATCCGGGCTCAGAGTCTTAAGCAGGCTGTCGAATTTTCCAGGTTTTCCATGGAAGTGCCATGCACGCCGCAGAAGCGCCGCAAAACTGCGGCCGAGTCTCCGTTGTCCGTTCGATCAGATGCCATGAGCCTGCAGATGCTTTCACCGATTGATTTGAGATCGCCAGGAACACCGTTTCTGGGAAACTATTGGCAGCTAGTTTGAAAACCCAGGTTTTGTTTTGTTTTGTTTTTTTGTTTTTGGTTTTTATGTGCTTTAAATCTCCCGAAATTGGCATTTGAGGCTTCCGCATGAGCCATCGTCTTCACGAGCTGGCAGCGTGGCCCCAGAGCAACCAGTGCAGCCAGTGGTGCCTTTTGCTGCGGGCGCTGTGGCCGCACGCATTGCTGTGGAACTGGGCTGTGAGGAGCTGCCAGCAATGGCTCACAATAGGAGCTTGCACCTTCGACCTGGGCCATATCTCATCATGCCCAATGATTGGCCACACTGTGCAACGTGGTGTGCTCGTGTCATTGAAGCAGCAGGCTTCAGCAGTGCAGCCCGCACTCTGCGTGGGATGAGAGCTCGCGCAGAGCAGGCGCTTGTCAAGCTTGCCCGCGCGGAAGCACAGCACTGGCAAGAAGTGGGTCGCTTTGATCTAGCACACACGTGGCAGAGCAAGATCGATGCTGCGCTGGCGCTGTCTGCCAACAGGAGCTATTGGTATCCGGTGGCTCGGGCTGATCTAGAAGAGTTTCGGGCGAACAGACGCTGGGAAGACAGGCGAAGGAAGCAAGCTACAATGCATGACTTTGCTTCTTCCAGCGCAGCAGGGCCAACCTTCCAAGATCGCTTGCGGGCTGAGCTATGCTTGAAGATGCAGAACCCAGAAGCAGAACCAATGGACATCATGTGGTCCGCATTGACAAGCCTCAGCCGCGGTGGCACTCCGTGGGTTGCTATAGCTGAGCTGCAGTCTGTGCTGCCGTTTGAGCAGCCAATGGTGGAAGAGTGCATTGGCAGCTACGCCAGCATCGGCATGATCTATTTTCGGCAGGCTGACCAAGCAGTTTGCCTTGCTGAGGCTTGGGATGAAGCAGCAGTAGACCGTCAGCAGCTTGTGGCTAACGCAGTGGAGTGGCTTGAGTTTTTTCGGTCGCAACAGACGACCTAATCCGGAGGCAACAAACCATTGCAATAGTGAAGAGATAAAAAGCCATCATGCTATTCGGCTTTTTCAAGGTTGACAAGTTGCAAGGTCTTTGCAGTGGCTAGGTCATGATTTGGCTAGGTCTTGACAGGTTGGTTAGAAGACCGCATTCTGCAGCCTTTTGGCTTCCCAGTTTTGCCATGCCCGGTTGCCGCTTATGCGGCCGGCAGGGGCATAATTACTTGACTTGCCAGATTCAAGGAGCGGCGGAATATCGCGCTTTGAAGAAGGGCGCGAATGGCTCTGCTTCTAGAGGGAAGTCACGAACTTGCAGAGGAACAGGCTTTGCTGCGCTCAGAAAAGTGAAAAAGCCAGCCATGAAGCGGCCTGCTGCTTCCAAGTCTACTAGGCGAAAGGAATATAGCGGCGATGTTCTGGGTGCTGGCGACAGACGTGACCGGCAGTGGTCTGGACCGCAAGTTGCAGGAGTGACGAATGAAGAAGCTCTGAAGCATTTGCTGGCTTCGCGTTTGCTGCAGCGGCCTGCCAGATGTGACTCATGTCATGGCTACCTCTGCGGCCCTTATCCGCGCAAAGACATTGTTTCCCAGCAGCTGTATTGGCATTGCACAAACGAGGACTGCCGGAGCAGAATCAATGTCTTAAGCTGCAACAACTGGCTGAACAGAGATGGTGTGGAGAAGCACAACCGCGCATTGACGCCTTTGCATCTCTTCATCATAGTGATCAGCTACTTTTCAGAAACCAATCCTCGGCCAAGCAAGCCGGCCAAGATTGCCAAGATCAATGAGCACCTGTGCATTCTGGTTTTTCAAAAGCTTCGGGGCTTAGAAGCCCGCCAAGGCAGACTTCAGCTGGAGCAGTTGCGCCTCAAGGGCCAGATAGAAGTGGACGCAACAACAATCAGAAAACTGCACATAAGCAAATCGAATCCATCTTGGGCTGTCCCTATTCGGGCTTGGCAGGAACGGCATGGACAGCAGGCTCTGCCACCATGGTTTGATGTGCACGTCAGAATCGGAGGAGCCAAAGAACGCGGCTCTACTGGCAAGATTCTGATGTCACCTTTGCCATACGTGTTGTTGAAGCCATCGGCAAGGCCACCTACCGAAAGCAGTTTAGATGTGATGTCTTCTGACTTGATTTCCAAAGTCAGGCCAGGGGCCACTGTCTACGGGGATGGTGCTCGCAGCTGGCGCAGTGCATGTGAAGACGCAGGTCTTGAGTTCTTCCAGGTTCGACATTGCCTTATGGAGTTCAGCTGCCATTTCTGCACGGGAGGCCGCACAAAAGTCGCTGGAACGCAGGCTCTGGACTCATGCTGGCGTCGATTAAAAGAATACTTGCCGCGAGAAGTTCAGGCAAAACATGTGGGAAGCAAGCTGGTGAATCCAGCTCTTCATGAATACGTTTTTTCATGGCAATGGCGCATGAACGCAGGCAAGGATCTGTGGGCTGCGTTGCCATCTTTAAACCCTTAGAAAGCATGAACAAAAGCGCCGCCCTCAGTGCTGGGGAGGGTTTGTTTCTAGGCCGCCGCTTGAATCTGCCTTGATGTTTTTTGCACTTACACATTCTTTCAGAACGTGCCAAAAACCTCAACGTGCCAAAAACCTCAACGCCGGTTCGCGCGGCGAAGCCAAATCTATGGATCGACTTGTTGCATGAATACGCAGGCTCAACAAGGCCTCATGCAGGTGACGAGCGATGTGTCTTGGATCAACATGGCACCAGTTTGATGATACGGTGGATTCCCCAAGTATTGCAAGCAAATCGTGAAACAACCATTCTCAACTACGAAACCATTGCGTTTTGCGGTAAATCACCAAATTTCCGCATGTAATATCTGAACAAGACCTCGGCAGATTCAGAGAACGGCCCCGGATCTTACCTTACCAGCCGCAACATGACAACTGGTTTTGTTTTAGGCTACACCCTCAGAAGGGGCTGTTTGACAGAGGGAGACCCAAAGGAATTGATCGGGGCGCGAGAAAAAATGGTTAAAGAAGCCGTCCCGACTTGCGAAGAGAAGCAATTTGAGGACTCAACGTTGAGTTGCGAAAAGCAGAAGGGGTACTTCAAAACTCCAAAGAAACTGACACCGGGGGAAAAAAAAAAAAAAACACCCCCGAAATCCTCCGAGCTGACTGAGAGGCGTACCCGTCCAGTCCCATTGGCTCCCCCGAGCTTACAGAGCCAAAGGACTCAAAGCCCAAGGGATGTTGCTCAAAGAAACCCTTTAATACCGTGGATGGTTGCGAAATCCATAAACCGCACCACTTGGAAACCATGGTTGAGACAACTATTTGGTGATTACGTTGGGGAATCCTCCGAAACCAGGGTTCCCGAGGTGGTGCGAAATGGATTTCGTCCATCCACAGTAGGAACACAACGGGTGCGAATAAGAATCCCTTTTCGAAACCGAAAAGAAACCTTTTAAGAACGAAGAACGGAATAAAGTGTTATTTTTCATAGGAAGAAATCCGGTCCATTTCCGAAGGCCCGGCTTTCGGGTTTCCTTTCGGTGTTTCCCGTAAAAAAAAACCAGGGCATTCTCGAAAAAAGAAATTAAAGCACTGCCTAAATGACCATGAGGAGTCCCGAGCTCTCACGCATAGCAAATACCTGGCAACCAATGGCTCGATTTTCGACCCCTTTGGTCTTAGAGTGGAAAACGGGTCCCGTGGTAAATTCGATACTCCCTAATTGGTGGTCTGCATTGGCGGTGGGATTTGAACCCCTGTTTCTTGTGAACAGGTTTTTGGTGGGATTTGGCATTGTTCACGCGCTGGCTTACTGTTCAGCGGACTCCAGGCTCCTCTAAATGAGTGTTTCTTTTTAGCAAACCCCAAAAACTAAGGTGTTCCCCCTGGTGTCCCTTCCAAACCACAAAAAAGGGGTACCCTCAAAGCAAAAACAAACCCACATTCCTTTTGGTTTGTGAGATTGGAATCTGGTTCCTTCTTTTGTGGCAACCATGGGTTCCTGACATAAATCGCATCCTGGGCCGGGTGCCTGCTATCAAAAGTGGCTACCCTCCACCAATTGACATGGAAGCTGACCTTTCGGGGGCCTGGCTTGGACCATTTGTTTTTTTCAAGGGACACCCTGTCCGGTTCCGCTGCACACCTCTTGGTATGGCAAAAAATACGGACGATGGTTGCTGCCCCCTACCAAAAAATGAACCAGAACCAAATGAAAGAAGAAGAACCCAAGAACGGTGAAGTCCATGTTCATTGGTGGGAGGGTACCAGGAACCAACTTCCTCCGAATCACCCGAGGGCTTGGCTTCAGAAGCTCCTTCTCCTTCTCCAGCGCCTGAAATCGGCTCCGGAGTGAATCAAGTCCCACTCCCGCCCCCCACGTGCATTTTTGTTGGGAAAAGTTTGGGCACTCCTGTTGGTTGACTTTCATGGGGAAAAAGGGGTAGCGGACTTTTTGGCACTTGATTCCTTTGGCAAAAGGAATGAGTCTGACACAGGGAAGGGTGACCTCCGACCCTAAGCATCGAACGGGGCGGCCCTTTTTAAGGTCCAAAACCTATGGAGGTCCTGACCGTTCAATGGAGGGTCCAATGATGCTTGGGCTAGTTGATTTTCAAGGAGGTTGCCCCTCCCAAAATGTTCAAAAGGGCAAAAGGATATGCAACCACTGGAAGTTAGGAAAGAACCGGGACAGCCATGAGTCTTCGGGTTATTTAGACACACTTTTCGTGAAGTTCCATCATTGTGGCGACCACTCGAAATCATGAGCCAGGAATCGCGCCTCCGGAAAAACCAGCGAACCGAAGCCCCCCGGCCTGCTGGTGGGAGGACGCCTTTTCCAGCTCTGAGTGGTACCGCAGGGCTCCGTCCTCAGCATTTAGAGAACGGGACACGGCATGCACCCATGGGGGGAGGGAGCCCAAATAAGCCCTCAAGGTCCCAAACATGGTTTCCTTAATTTCTTTTTCAACACCATCCGGAATACGAGTGCTTGGTGGAACAATGGGTCCCCAAGAATCCAGCGCCGATTTCTCGAAAACGACTTTGCGTGCCCGAGCCCTTTCGGTGGCAAGTCGGCCTGCCGCACTGCTGCGTCATTCCTCTTGCCATTTGAAACTCCTGCTGGTTGGCTTTGGCAGCCCCCAGAACGGCTCCCTTCCAAACACTCAACCACTGGCTTGGGTGGACATCATTGACATGGGGAGTTTGGTCCACGAACCATGTGCGAACCCGATCGAACGTGGGCTGCGGCAAGCCCGCATCAACCCGAACGCCTTGGGGCCGCATTTCGCGCGGGACCTTTTTCTAGACAAAATACTCTAATTTCCAAACTGAAGACAAGTTTACCCAAAGGACCTTCCTCACACTCAAGCTCGTTTTACCCCCTGAAAGGCCCGTTGGAATTCGTCCAGATCATAGGCTACACATCGCCCCTTGGAGGCCTTCTTCCATCGATTCCATTTTTAAGAATCCAAGCTACGTCTCCTTTTGGGGAAGCTCGGGCCCCAGCATCCACGGCCTTGAGCATGTGCTTCCGCTCTCTGTTCACTGCAGCCCTCAGAAAAAACCGGATTTCGGGGCGAATGAATAAGCGACTTTTTGTCGCTCGTTCTACGTGGGGAAGGGGGGTCAGTCTATCGCGCTGGGGTCAAACTACTGCTCGGATTTTCCCGGGAAAAAAGGTCGTTTTCTTCAGGGTGTCCCTCTTTGGGGAAAGTTGGGCCCTTGAAAGCCAAGGGATCATTTCTAGGCTGGAATTAGGACCCCAGCAGAAACATATGTATTTTTTTGCCTGGTGAGTAGAAAACAAAAAGGAACCCCAAAAAAGCAAAAAAATCGAAAAAATGGGGAAGCCAATTCTGGGGAAGACTTGTGAGCCATTCTGAAACTCTGGCCCGGGAAACGGCTCGGGAAACGGCTTGGAATCGACTCCTTTCCTTTGGCGGAAGCGTGGGCGCTTTTCCGTCTTGGAGGGTATCTCTGGCCCAAGCAAAAGCCAGGGGGGGGTCTTCATTTCATTTTGAGACAAGCCCATTTGGACAGAGAGAGAGAGAGAGAGAGAAAAAAAAGAGAGAGAGAGAGAGAGGAAAAGAGAAAGAGAGATAAAGAAAGGGAACAAGCGGTCGCCCAGCTGACCGTGCGGCAGCTCGACTTGGTTTGGCCAAATCGAAGGGCCGGTTCGAGAACGAACACTCCCGTTGGATTGAGGATATATAATCAGTAGGGTTCGCCTTTTTGGTAGGGAAATGCTCTAGAGGAATTCTCTGAGTAGGATCCGCCGGATTCATCTGATGACTCTGATGTTGACGCAATGCCATTCGAACAAAGGGCGGACAGGAGCCAAAGTGCAATCACCTGGACCCAGGCGCCAAAGGAAAAGATTAGAACAAGGAAAGTGATGCTGCGAAACAAACCAGGGGTGGGAGAAAACAATGGTGAGAGAATCAAACCGTGTCCGCATACTGTTTTGTTTCGCCGTTGCTTGCTTTTTTTAACTCAAACATACTTTCAGCTTGAGATCATGCGGAGAGAGCTAAATTTGTTGCATACCCCCTTGGTCGTTTCAAGAAATCCTTCCTCTCGAGCGCGTTGAACGTTGCATTTCCCATCCAAACATTGCTGCAACAGAACCGCAGTGTTACGATGATTGGTCCCCGAAATTCTGAAAGGGGACCCCGAGACATGGTGGTCTTCCTTTTGGTTTCCTCTTTTCAGGGGACCCAGGAAGAAAAAAAAAGCGAAGGCTCGAACAACCAGGGCGCGGGCTGTACTTCGTCGTCGGGCATGCCAGCGGCCAAAAGCTCGTCCTGGAAATGGCGGTTTTGAAGTCGAATCCCCCCAAATCCAGTGAGGTTTGGGTGTGTTTTTTGAGTTGGTACACCCGTTGTTTGGTGTTTTGAAAGGAACACTAAAAGGAACACCAGCAGTTTAAAGGTCCCCTAAACAAGACACACCCGTTTGGCTCTACCGACATGGGAAGGTTTAGAAAGCCCTTACCATTACCCCCGCCCCCACAAGACACCAGGTAGAATCCGGAAAATTGCCAATTGAGCTTTTGGGCACTGCTCATTTGAGAACGCCCGTCGACCAGGGTTATTCAGCTCCCGGGTCGAGTCCCTTAGCCATATATTCACATAACCATTAGGACGCTGACGGCGTGGCAATGCCCTCAAACCGCCTTTCTCGTAACTCCTCTTCCACTCATCGCTCTCAGAAAGCCGCTGGAAACAACCGCGTTGGCGAAGCGAATCAAACTAAAACCCCCGCGAGATGGACACCGCTAAGCCAACTAAAACCCTGGAAACCTCAAGCCCGGCCGGGAACCGCCAAGCAATTAGAGGCGAAAAGCTCGGCTCTTGACAGCGAAGAGCAACCTACGTTGGACAACCTACGCGAGTGCCGGAGAAATCGGTTGCCGGTTATGGCCACAGTTCCTTCTACGGAACACTCATATAACCCCGGTTGTCGAAGTCCTGGCAAAACAAGTGAACAATCATCCCTCACAACCCACCTAGGCGACATGAGCCATCATCTTCTTGCTCGACACTCAGTAACTCGTTTGTTTCATAGCAAGCATTATGCTTCTTGTGTCCATGTGGCAGGAACTGCGGGGACTCATCATCTGATAGCGGACTTGCTACACAGGATTACGACTTTCAAACGTTGAGTCTGGATGGGTGTTTTTGCAAGCTGCAGCGAGTCACGCTTTAAACTTCCGCTGCGCTGTGCAAACATGTCTTTCAAGGCAACAGGATGCTTGCATGAAAGAAGCAGAATGGAAAGAGAACAAAAGCGGAGGCTCCCAGAACAGATGCATTAGATCTCAGGTATTGATCAAATATTCCCTTTTCTTGGAGTTTTCGCGTGTCAGGGTTGCTTGAAAGAAACCACAAGAATTTGACCCGAGGGAAACCGACGACACGCCCAATTTTCTACCAAAAGGCGGCTTGGTCCTTAAAAGGTTTGGAGCTTGCCCCAAGAATTGTCGACAAACAAACAGAAGCCCGTCGACAAATAGGGGGTGGTCCCAATGCAGCATCCAACTCACTCTTTTGGTACATGTGCTGTTTAAAAAAAGGAATAATATTCTTGAAATTTGGGGAAATGAAAAAGCGGATAAATAGCCCCGCTTCTTCAGACTCTTGATGAAAGTGGTGTGTCCTCTTTCTCGACTGATGATGCCATGTTGATTCAATTTTCCGAAAATAGTATAAAATTGGAGTAACACGGAAATCAATCCGTCGCGTCCGGAGGCGACAGGCATTTGCCTCGGCTCAAGTTTCAGCACGCCTCTAACTTGAGCAGCTCGTTCTCCACCTGCCAAAGCCGGAGGCGGACGAACTCGCCGAAATCATCCAAGTTGGAGGGTTCAGGTGCGCATCAAGCAAAAAAGTGAAGGTCGCCCGAAGACGGAAAGACCAGCGACGCAAACAGTGGGAAGAAAAGCGTAGGAACGTGTTAGAGGGAAAAGGATGGAATCCCGTCAATGCAATTTGCATCAATAACCGCAAGCACACATCATCAAGGTTGCCCCAAGAGTTTGAGGCAGAAGCCGCGTCCAAGCTTTTTGCTCCTGACACACTGCTTGGCCCGTGGCTGCGGTTCAAAACGGTATCAGCCACAGAGCACAGGGAACTGGTCTGAAACATCCTACACTTGGCTTCTGTACAGTGGCCGTTCACTTTACTCGCAATGCACCGATTGGTTTAAAGGGATGCGTCACAGGGAAACCCCGTCTAGGGGGTTGCCTCTGCAAGAACCGTCTTCTCTAAACGACTAAACGATGAGAATGGCGGTGCCTTGTTTTTGCCCAGCCCCCAGTTTTGGTCGGTTTTGTCGGTTCTCAAAAGGCGGCTACAAGGAAACCGACCCTCTCTCTTGTTCTTCTTTTTGGGGGGGTCAACCAACCCTCTCTCTTGTTTTTGTTTTTTTTTTGGGGGGGGGATCCCCACTTTTGTTTGGGGGTTTGGGGGTTTGGGGGGGGGGTTTGAGCTTTCCCCACGATCATCCGGACTTCCCCGGCGGCGATCATCATCGCCTTCCGCTTCTGCTCGTGGATCAGGAGCTCATTGTTGGCCTTGCGCACCTGAAGGCTACACCAGACAAACCCACAAAGAGTCGCCTTCCTCCAACATGGCAACTGACCCGCACAAAAAAAAAATAGGGATCGGGGGATTTGGGTTTCCAGAAAGACAAGCCCAAGACTGAGAAAGAACTATTTTCCATCAAGATCCCACTAACATGGCACCTATGGGGAGGTAGGAGTACCTGGAAGATTAATTTCCTTTTGAAGGGACCCCCTGTCAGTTGCCATGTTAGTGGGAGGGAGGGTACCCGCAAAGAAAGGGGTCGGGGGATTTGGGTTTCCAGAAAGACAAGCCCAAGACTGACAAAGAACGATTTTCCGTCAAGAAGAGGTGGGATCGGATGTGGCTTTGCTTCAGGAAGATGACCCTCCCGGACTGAATAAAAAGACACCCCCGACTGGCTGAAACCGTGCTCGTGCCTGCCCTACCCGTTCCGCTCGGTCAGAAACAAACAAAAAGGCGGGAGATTGAACTCAAGGACTTGGGCGTGGCTTTTTGGGGACCCACCAAAAAGGTGGGCGTTCCTTTACGTGTCCCAGTGTCCCTTAAAAACCAAACACAGGGACACCCAGGTGCAGGTGTTGTTTCGGTTGAGGGGATTCGATTCGGCCGCGCACTTTGACACCTTCGACGTTTAAGGCTGGCAAGGTCCACCTCAAAGAATGGCAGGGACCCAATTGAGATGATGACAATCCTTAGGTATACAATCTTTTGTTTTTGTTCTTTTGCACTCTTGGAGGAACCAACGCAGAACTTTGTCCATCCGCAGTAGTAAATGAGACTTAAATTCCAAGCATGATCTTCAGGAAAACCATCCACAAATGTGTCAATTTGCTGGGCTCTATCTCACACGAGGAGTACGCTTCCAATCCAAACAACATGCACAACAAACCACACTTGTCTCCGATGGATGAAGCATAGTGGCTCACAAGCAACATCCTGAAGAGGATGTGCAGAGGGGACTGGCTCCACATAGAAAGATTCAGGATGCTTTGTGCGATACAGCGTTTTCCGTCCCGGCAATCCTGCAACATTTGGTCAAGGATTTATGCCATGGGTGTCTCATCTTCACTCAGAGAATGCCCCCTCCCCCCCCCAAAAAAAAAAAACACATAAATAAATAAATAAAACAACATAAATAAATAAATCAACATAAATAATATTTTTTTAAGACAAGACACAACAGGTTCTGCTTGGATCCGGGGTCCACCCCGTACCAGGCTTGGAGTTTCACGGGTCAAACCGAGCCTCGCCTGCCTGAGCCATGGCTGTCACTCCACCCGTCGGTTTGAAGGAAGCCAGCCATTTGGACGTCTGTTTTAGTTTTGGACCCCCAAAAAATGGCTTTGGGTTTTCCCTTCAAAAAGGGACTCACCTCACCCCAAAAGCACATATATATATATATATATGGTTTCCCGTTCAAAAAGGGACCTCACCCCAAAAGGACGTATAACATGGTTTCCTCAAAGCCCCAAACGTTTCATCTTAACACCGCCCTTGTGGGGGTCCTAACGAACAACGCCCACTGAAACCAACCAACGCTCCCGCGCCTTGATGGCCCCGTCCCCGGTCATGCTCTTGAAGCTCTGGCCCATCTGCGCCTGGCGAAAAGAAGAAAAAAACAAGCGCGGCTTTGGGCGCGGCGTGCGGCACCCGAGTGGGGTGGGGTGAGGTGAGTGGTGGGGTGAGGTGGGTGGTGGGGTGGGGTGGGGTTTTGTCCTGGAAATGAAAGGGCACCAAGGTCACACAAAGCGAGGAGTACAAGCAGGGCTCCCCCAAAAAAGGCTTGGGAAGCTGCGCCCGGAAATGTTTGCGTGCTGCTCCAAAACGCGGGGGGGCTTCTTTCACCCGGAGAATCAAAGGCCACTCCTCAGCAGTAGGAGGAGGGTCCTGAAGTGGTGACAAAAAGAAGGCTGCACACCACAGGCTAGCTGTGGGGGGGGTATCCCTTACCCCTCTTAATAAGGCCTTACTAAGGGCGTATCCCTGGCTTATCTCAAAGATA